GGTGTTGGTGATAGCGGCTATGGTAAGGTGGTACGACATTGGGTTGGTGTTAATGGTGAATTGGAGTTGGGGGGAGGTAGGTGGGCGGGGGGGTTTGGTCGGGTGGAGATTGATGAAGAGTGTTTGTGGTTAATTACTTGGGTGGTTGATGATCGTGACCAATAAATAATGTGATCGATAAATACTTAATTTGCAATCAATAAATAATATGTGATCTAAAAAATGTGATATTACGACTAAATTTGTAAACATGACTCGCAATATGTTAAGTTGTGAACAATAAAATTTGATAATTTATGACCAAATATATGTGGTCTATTAATTTGATAATTTATTATCGATAAATAAATTGAAATCTATAAAATTTGTAATTTATGACTGTGACTAGTACGTAACTATGACCATAAATTATAATATTGTGACATTAATATATTTAGCCCTTGTTTTAGCCTCATTTTTTCAAGAATATATTTTTCAAAACTCATTTTTAACCATATATTCTACCATAAAGTATTTATACAGGTATTTAAAAAATCTCCTTACTTTTTAACTAAGCATTCTCCAAAAAAATCACTATTTCATAATACATTTTACTCCAAAAATGATAATCGAACAAGACATTAATTAACAAAATATTTTTAACTATCTATTTAATTAATAAAGTTTTATTATGACCCGATTTTTGAAATTTTAAAATAAATTTCTTAATTTCGAAATTGTATCTCAAACACCTTAGATATGTATTTTTCCCAAAAATATTACTAAAGGCCACGATGCTTGAAAGGCTTATTTTGGAGAAACGGTCATAAAGCACATATTATTTAAATCATGATAGTTCTTTGTAGGCGTTTTTTAGTAACTTGAGTAATTTCTTCATAAGTACGCGATTCCATCACTGTATTATTTTTACAAGATAATACAAGAAGTGCTCGACACTCATCAATTTTTCTAGTATTCACTAAAAATAAATTTAAATTATCTATCGACAAATTAATAAATTATTTATTTATCGATAAGCTAATAATCCCTATCGAGTAATAAGTTTTACTCTGTCCCAACAATATTGCTTTATAGGAATTTTAGTATATTTAGTTAGAGGTGTCAATCAGGGTAGTCCAGATCGGGTCGGCTCGTCAACATATGAGTTGCCCGTATGAAAAAAGCCCGTCCGCTATGAGTTCCGGGTCGGCCCAAAAATTTTGGACTACAATCCGGCCCGCCCGCTGACCCATCCGGGTCGAGTCAATGAGGGTCACGAGTCGCGCGGGTCCGGTTTGTTTCGATTTGGCCAATATTATTATATAAATAAAATTATNAAATTAAAAATATAGCCGTTATTGAATTCCACTCGTTTAACAAAAGTCAACAATAACGGCTAGTTTTTCAATTTTAATCTAATTTTAATTCTCACCAAACACGCCCGTAGAATTCAAATTTAATGTTACATGAATTATTTATAACTTTGTAAAGTTAAATTTAACTTAACAAATAACAACTAAATGCATTTCTAATTACTATTATCAAATATTTATAGTATAAGTACATCTCAAGTTGACACATACTTTTATTATAATTTATACTTTAAGTACATCTGAATTAGGTTGGCACTTACTTAAATCTTAATTATAATTTAGTTGTTCAAAAATTATATATTTTAATATTTGTTTTCCAATCAATCTTTAGGAACTATAAGATTTTTGAAGTTTTCGACAACATCATCAATAATTTTATCTTGCTTTCTCTCTCCCATTTTTTTCAAATTAAAATTTTTTTTCATGGGCCAGCGGGTTAATCGCGACCGTGAAGGTGTAACCCGCGAAGCCCGCGGGTCACACCTTCTTGACCCATGAACCGTCCCGCTCGGGTCACGGGTTGGCCCGCGGTCCCAGGTCTATCCGGGTCGGTTTTCACGGGTCTGGCCGACAAGTCCGTCCGTTTTGACACCTCTATATTTAATCGTCTGCCATGGTCAAATTTAGAGCTAAATGAAGGTTTTTATTTTATTTTGGCTTAGGCCACATGCATGATGCGTCACATTGCACTTTGTTGTCTTCATGCAGTTTGACAAAGAAACAACTACACATTAAGCTTTACTAATTTTAATTTAAGTTGAAGTTAATAATTAATTTGAACTACATATTTTATGAATTCTACAACTTTCAAACATTTTATCAGTTTTTATCAAAATTTATTTAAAATCTAATTTTAATTATCACCAAACAAGGGCTAAGTATATGTAGCATGAACGTATGTTTTAACTAAATGCATGTAATTGTTTATAATGAATTACCGAACCATTCATATATTTTATCTAAAAAAAAAAAAAAAACTACACGAAATTTGAAACTTGATCTAAAATTTTTACCTTAGGGTTCTTAAAGAACCTCTCACCATGTTTTTCCAATCAATCTTCAGGAACTATAAGATTTTTGAAGTTTTCGACAACATCATCAATAATTTTATCTTGCTCTCTCTCCCCCATTTTTTTCAAATTAAATTTTTTTCACGGGCCAACGGGTTAACCGCGACCGTGAAGGTGCAACCTGCGAAGCTCGCGGGTCACACCTTCTTGACCCGTGAATCGCCCCGCTAGGGTCACGGGTTAGCCCACGGTCCCGGGTCTATCCGGGTCGGTTTTCACGGGTCTGACCGGCCCGTCCGTCCGTCTTGACACCTCTATATTTAATTGTCTACCATGGTCAAATTTAGAGCTAAATGAAGGTTTTTATTTTATTTTGGCTTAGGCCACATGCATGATGCGTCACAGTGCACTTTGTCGTCTTAATGCAGTTTGACAAAGAAACAACTACACATTAAGCTTTACTAATTTTAATTTAAGTTGAAGTTAGTAATTAATTTGAACTACATATTTTATGAATCTTACAACTTTTCAAACATTTTATCAGTTTTTATCAAAATTTATTTAAAATCTAATTTTAATCATCACCAAACAAGAGCTAAGTATATGTAGCATGAACGTATGTTTTAACTAAATGCATGTAATTGTTTATAATGAATTACCGAACCATTCATATATTTAACCTAAAAAAAAAAAACTACACGAAATTTGAAACTTGATCTAAAATTTTTACCTTAAGGTTCTTAAAGAACCTCTCACCATGTCCGTGTATGAGTATATGTTACAAATAGAGAAAGAACGGTAAGACAGAACAAAAGACCTGAAAAAAGAACGAGAAAATGAATGAATAATAACCAAAACAGCCTTTATTTGGTCTTAATATGAAAGGAAATGAACACCTGCAATTAGAATTTTTCAAGTTCTTGGATAATTGGTAAAAATATACATATAGTACCGGTATACATTGCACCCACAAAAAGAAAAAGGTAAAATGTATAGATTGTTCTTGATTTTCTTCTGGTTCTTCTCAATTAATCATAGGTCGAACCACATTCGATCCATCGTTGGTCAGACTCTCTGCATGTCTGTTAAGATCTGCAGGCAACGGAATACCAAGTTCTGAGCATACTAAATGAAGTATCTTTGCAGTCACACCGCCAAAATTCATTTTATTCAAAGTCACAGCAATGGCAAATCTGTGCTCTATGTTACAATACCCTGTGGATCCACCCATGCCTGAATGCCCGAATCCGATTAAGTCACCGTCATTTGAGTAAGATTTCTTAAACCCGAGCCCGAATTCTCCACTTGGAAGTGTCAGGTTATCGTATTCTCCAACACCCATGAATTCATCATGAATTCTAGGATTGCTAAATAGTTTACCAGAATTCGAGCCATTTCCATAACCTCCTCTAGTCGAGGTGTTGTCACTGGGAACTCTAATGTAGTCGACACCAGTAGAAATATCCGTCTTTCGTACGCACATTGACCGTTTTTGCTTCTTGGGGGATTTATGGGACGGAAATTTGGGGATGTGTTGATGGCTTCCCAATGGGGGCTTGGAAGAAGAAGAAGAAGAATGTGGAGGGGGAATCGAACCTCCGTCGACAAGTGCTGCATAGTAGCGTGCAAGGGCTCGAGCTGAACAATGTCCATTAGCAGCAGGAACGATGGCACGTCGAGCTTGAAGTGAGTTAAATATGGCAGGAAGAGTAGTCACCATCTGAGAAATTTCTTGTGCTTGGAAGGAAGAAGGTAGGTCTGAACGTGCGGCGATTCCAGAGATTTTCTTCATATCTTCCATATCGACTGTGAGGCTAGCAAGTCGAGATTCCACACCTGTGACACAGTATTTATTTGGTTAAACCATGAATGGTTCTATTAATGATCAAATATCAAGAACAAGATGAAAAGGTTTAGGTTTTTCCCAACACCTCACCCTCCCCACCACCACAAAAAAAAATAAATAATAATAATAATAGTAAAATAACTTTAAAAAAATGAAAATGAAACAAAAGAAAAGAAAAGAAAAGAAAAAAATCTGGAAAGGTCGAAGAAAATTACCAGTAAAATTACTAAACTTGTTAATTGCCCTATACTTGCTTTATGAGAATTCAGTTTGGTGAATCAGAACGCCATCCAACTTTTTAAAACCTTTTTCGTAAGCAGTTATTGTTACAATATTTTTATGAATTTTCTTAATAAGTTTACATTTTAGTAGTAGTTGTCTTCCAGAGTAGTTTGATTATCCATCATTGCTGATAATTTCTCTATGAAATCAGTAGTAGTGCCACTAAACCCCACCATCTCATGGGCTTTAATTTTCGGTTGCAATATCAGAAACACATAAATATTTGATTAAATACAAGTAAATTGTAAATTAGTTCATAGGTAAGTTAAAAGGAGGAAAAATAGTGCCCTCAAAACTACAAATCCTTCTACAAATCCCAGTATCTATGCAAACCAACAGACTCATGAACTCTCATATAATTTCGTACTCATTGTAGAAGTTGATAAAACCAGCAATATATATCTCAATCCTTTGTTCAGTGACTTGAGCATCTAGTAGAAGATGGCATGATTCAATTAAGCATCAGTTACAAGTGTTACTTTCATTCTCATTCTTGATTTTAAGACGAAGAAGTTATTAGTTCTCAAACAATCAAATTACACTAACAACCATCAGAAGATAAATACTTTTTTTTTCATGGTAAGCATTAACTGTAAATTGCCAACAAATAAAATGCTTAGGATAAAACATTTCGACATCTTCAGTCAACAAAAGCATATATGAGATCATGAGGAGAAGTCACAACGAGAAAATGACGCAATTGATGAATGGATAGAACATGCCTGGAGGAATTCCAATGTATAGCTCGCCTGCTAAATCAAGAGGGTGAATAAATGCTTCTTCAAGAATCTCCTGAAACTTCTTCCCTGATGTGCGCTGTACAATGGAAAATAATTAGATTAGCGTTGAGGCCAATATCATGGTACAAAATATGTAGGAATCCTTGAGTGCTTTGGAGTATAGAAAGCAATTGACGTAGTCTTTTTAATTCATCTCTTTTACATAATCTTTGTCTTCCCCTGAAAAATGGAAAGGGCAGGCACGGTCTTACATTTCAAGCAAACCATTCCTTGAAATAGAGGAAACTCTATCTGAAGAAAATGTATGAGCATGATTTGAATTTGCGCCTTCATTTTTAAGTGAATATTAAGCCCTTGTTTGATCCCCATTATTTTCGAAATACATTTTTCTCTTTCTTCTTTTCAACCACATATTCTTCAATAAAATAATATGACCCGTAAATCCAAAATTTTTCCTTATTTTTTAACCACACAATCTCCATCTACTATCCTAAAATGCATTCTTCGCCAAATAAAGGGGCTCAAACAAGGGCTAAGGCATGATGATCCTAACTATTTCTTTCCTGAATTCCAGCCCTTATACTATATTAATCAAGTTAACTGAGTAGAACTTTTTCCAGGATAAAGAATAATATGAAAATGCAAGCTATGCAGTCCTATCGTGTAGTGTAATTGTATCAAATAACTCTCAGTTTGAAGCATAAATCTAAACCATTTCTGAAGCATGTAAAAGATCAAAATGTGGAACCAATGCTCACACAATCGTCACCAGAAAGAGTCATGTTTAATAGTACCTCAATAATTCCACCACATAACCAGCCGAAAGACAAATAATGGTACAGTTGCTTTTGGCCAGGTTCAGTCTCTGGCTCCACTTTAGCAATACAATTTAAGCATTCATCCCAATCAGTCATCAGTAAAGGATTTTCTCGTGTAAGACTGGCCAAGGCATTGTGCAGACCAGCTGTGTGATTAAGCACATGGTGAACCTACAGCAGAGAAAACCCACCCCTAATATAACATATGCATATGCAATAACTATAAGATACAGATTAAACAGATAAAGAAACTAAAAGCATGGGAATTCTAATTTCCCAAGTTGGGGAAAGTAAATAGCTACATGATTATACTACAATCAGTGGGTTTTACAAAAATTAGCAATTTCCATCTATGTTACCATTTAAAATTTACGATTCATTATTACCATAATGTTATAATTCCCCACTAATATAGATGGGTCCAAAAAACAGATAAGGAAATTAAATGACAGCAGGAAACTACTCTGGGATTCGAAGATTGGAATATTACTTTTATTTGATCTTTTCCATTGGTACCAAATTCTTGCCAAATATTAGCAACTTTATCCTCAAGCTTCAGCTTCCTGTCAAACCAACATCAAGCAGTTAATACAATGTTCGATTGTTCATTGCTGTACTAACTGAATACAGTATATATGGGTTTCTAAATATGAGAGCACATAGACATAGCCCCCTTGGGTTTATATTTATATAAGCTGATTACAATTATTTTCATAAAATAATTCCGTTCAATTTCCAAAGAAATTTAATCAATTTGTCTGATTAAATCAGATAAAACCTAAAGCAAATTGATGACTAGAAAATGTGCTTGATAATTGAATACATATGATGATAAAGTGAGAAAACCAGCACCATGGATACCATTACTAAGAAAAATGTTAACGTGCTACCATGAAAAATACATGGGAAAATAAAGCAAATGAATATTACTCAGAACTTATAGAGATATACTCCTAGGTTCCAATGCCAAAATGCTCATCAGAACCAACTCCAATTGAGAAAAATTATAAGATAGGGTTGCACATCTATTTAAGATCTAATTGGTAACTCTGCCCGTCATACAGTTAACATTCAAACACTTTTTTAATTCATGAAACCATTTTGATTTGCTAATAATTGCTACTATCAAACCATTACATTAGTCCTCTGGGTATATATATGTCAACAATAAGGTAATACTTTCAATGAGGGTGAGAGATGATAGAAAAAGTTAACAGCACCAGTTACCAAACATCTGCATGCTGATGAACTATGTAAACATTAAAAGATGTTGCATACCCTTTATCAACCAGCCAATGTACCATTCCTGCTGTGATTCCCTTCGATACAGAAAAAACAGGGAATAAACTATCAGGCTGAACTGGTCGAGGGTCATATCTTCCAAGCGTCCCAGCAGCAGTATCAATTATTACTTCTCCATCTTTATAGGCACATACCTGCAAGGTCAGGTGCAATTTTCCGCCTTTAGTAAATCAGAGGCAGCTATTTGATTAATGAAAAGAAATGAATATGATGAAAAAAAGACTGATAATAAGAAGATAGTACAGGCACATATTCTAGTCCATGATTGTAGGATTCGTCAACTGGGGTTATGCTTCTCAAATGAACCCAATGGTTCATTAATTTCTGAAGAAAATGCCAAGATAGTTTAATTATAACTTTTGGATCATGAACGAGCCTGATAAGCAATGATCCTTAACCAAAGCAAAGCCTAATGACAGTGTGATGAGAAACCTTGAGTTGCTAGAAGAAAATATGGAACAGCTTCTAGGGCTCAGAGAACGGAACATGACAGGCTAAATCGATTGGTTAGAACTCCCACTCTTTGGCTAGAAATGGTAAGAACATAAAGCGAGGTTCTTCTAAAAACTTGCAGAAGAGGCAAGCACCAAAATTAAAATAATGGATAAGCAAAAAGTAAATAACCCGGAAGAAAGAGTTGGAATTGAGAATATGAGGAAGCTTCAAATTTTACAGCGGAATAGGTAAGAACGAAGATGTTAGCAAGAATACGTAAAGGGTCAAAGTACTTTTAGCTCCCCCTAAATGAAGCATTGTTGAGGTGAAGTACTCTTTTATGGAACTCTTCACGTAGAGTTGTCTTTCTACTCGCGAGTCTTCTTTATCTAATCTATATTTACAACCAGCTAGCACTACCTTTCAACACAATTTATTTTCTTCTCTTAATCCTCAATTATTTAAAAACTACATAAAAATGACCAAGTAAAAGATTCAAGAAACTGGTAATACCATCTCATCTAAAGGTTTATTGCTTTTAAACAAGGAGATTCAACATGGCATCCTAGTAGGCTAGGCAAAAGTCCAGGTTTTAGTCTTTCTAAAACACATTTATAAAAATTGTACACGTGTGAGGCCTTTGATGACAAATATAAACCCAGACCCGAGAGGTATATGGCGATTACAAAACTTAAAGGAATAAATTTGTCTAACAACTTGACCGTTTATGAGATGGTTCAAGATAAACTAATGAACCGAAAATAACAAATTTCAGAACTTTCCAAGGGATGCATTTGAGGAAAAAATAGTAAGCTGCAGGAAAGATAGACATCTTTGCTTTCCTCTCTCTTCTCTACTTCTCAAATGCGAAAGAGATGAAAGAAATGTTGACTAAAAGCCAAAAAATGATGCGCTTCTAAAAAGATAATTTATATGTGTGCATTGATAAATGCTGCATATGGTAAACAAAATTTTGAAGGTTTTCAAGCATGAAGCAGCTGCGTTCACCTGGATTCCAAGTATTTTATCATCATTTCCAAGATCAATTAGGAGCTGCCTCAGCTTGGCTTCAACATTAGAAAGCACAGGGGTATCATGAACCCAGTGAGCATTATAAGATGGCCCCTTGTTAATGTTGCTGAAACAAGTTATACAAAGAGTAAAACAAAGTCAAGCAGTCCAAGGAACTCTAGGAATCGTAAAAGAAAGTTTACCATTGCAAAACAGATTCGGCAAATGGCCTCATGATATCTACATAAGCTACACGAACATTCATCGTCGATGAAAGCCCTAAAATCCATGTGAAATCCATGTCAATTTTCAGAATGGTAAAACTACATACCACAATGAGGAAATGAAGGTAGAACATTTATTAGATACCTCGAAGGAGATTAACCACTCTAGAAAATATAATGGTATCACCCGGAAAAGCATCAACCTATAGTTCAGCTTCAATTAAATTACGAAAACAGTCCAATGACATGCTGATAACATTGGAATAGAGGACATGGCATGAACTTACAGGATTAAAACGTTTCGCTTCTTTTTTATTAAGCTTCATCTTCTCTTGCAAGATCTTCAGGTTTTTATTCCTTTGCTCAACCAAAGACTTCACGTTTTCCTAGACCAAAGACTAAAGTCAGTATAATATAAAGCAAAGAGAAGAACACTGAAAAACAAGATGTGTCTGCTTACAAGAGCTTCACTTGCTGGAGTTGACGAACGAAAGAATACAGAAGCCATCTCCATCGCTTGCTCCGGCATGTCCAAGCGCAGACGTAGTCCCATTTCAGCAAAGGAAGAAAGAAGTGCCACGTAATCGCCCTGCAAGAAGCAGCCTCCTTTAAGTTTTTTTAGCCAAACCAGAGAAATCATAGTACCACTAAGTACCATAAGAACAAAAATTGAACAGGTATAAAGATGTTTAAACACAAGAAACAAAAATAGAAAGAAATAATCAGTATCTAGCCAAAAGATTATGGAAAAAAGAAAAACATGGAAAGTAATTTACTGGACCATAGCAATTGAAGTTTCACATAATGGGAATATTAAAGCTTTCCACTGAAATCATTGAATTGTAGATTTTCTTTTCATTTATAATCTTATAAAAATTGATAACCGTTCAAATCTCAAAAAGAGAAGTACAAACCTCAGCAGACGCCAGAAACATTTTAGCCAGAGCTTGTTTCATTGAACTTGACAGCATCTTTGTGAGCCCAAAATCAAGCAAAATTGGACGATGGGGAGGTTTCTTGCTCACAAGAAAATTTCCTAGATTAAAACCAATAAAACAATTCATGGGATAATGTAAGCAAATAGTTTAACGGGAACAATGTAATATTATAACGGGCAAAGAACCATAAATGTTTGTGGCATAGTAACTGCAGAAGTCAAGAAGGAATTAGATTGCATATGCTACAAACATTTGGTGAGCATTAGAGAGAGAGAGATAGTACCAGGATGCGGGTCTCCATTGAAAAATCCATCAACGTAAATTTGGTGGGCATATGCACGCGTAATTTCCTCCACAAGATTTTGTTTATCAACCCCCAATTCTTGAAGTGATTCAGAGTCATTCAAACGTACACCATCCATATATTCTAAAATGAGGACTTTTTCAGTTGACTGCAAAAAGAATAAATGAATCACAGTGAAAAACAACTTAGAAGAGAACCAAAGAAATCTATCTAGAAATAGAGAGAAAGTTAAAATAGAAGCTGGATATGGTCAAACTGAATTTATAGAAAATCCTATAAGAATCTCTTATAGAGCAAGTTGTTTCAACATGAATGAAAATTTACTCAAAACATCTAGAACATTCTTGGCTTATCAGTGGATCTCCATATCTAAAAGTATACATTGCATTCTCGAAAGGTCATAATTTCCAGCTGGATAGAGAGATCAAACCCTGGCACCAAATTTTAAATAGAAGGATCAGGGAAGGATGATACCAAAATTATTTCTGGAATCAACACGTCCACAGGATTGGAAGGCATGTTGGTATCTTGAAAATCATTTTTGCAGCCAAGATTCCTGGAGACTTTCCGAGTATTTTCTAGAGAAACCAAGAGAACCATCTTAATTGTAAAAGGATGCTAAAGATGATGACAGAAATCAAGCTTAATGGATTATCTGAAGCATACCAGCCTCATGGTTAAAATCCAGCTCCTTTGGTGCTTCTTTGCACCATTCATCCATGACAGGATTGAAGTCATACTGTGGTTCTGCCCAAGCAATCCAATCAACTATTGACTTGGCATTTTTCAGATCCTGCAAACGAAGCAAAATTCATTACAATCATATAATTGCAAATTTTACGGCTAAAAACCATATCCCAGCACCTCAATACAAAAGCCCAAGCATAATCACCTCTATTATAACTTCCTTTATTCCATCATGTTGAACTTTGACAACAACTTCCTGCCCGTCTCTCAGAGTTGCCCGATGAACTTGTGCTATCTGCATTAAGGTATAACATATAAATATTAAGGCCGTCCAAAATTACAATTGACACTGTCATGGCAGGAAAGAAAGTACAACCAATTACAGTGCCTACGGTGTTACTTGTGTTCTTTGAAGAATAATTGAAAAAATAATGCCAGAATAAGCAAAGGTCAACATCTAGCAAGAATGAGATTTCATTTTTCTTTTAAATTATTTTATTAAAAATTACCCCAGCAAATTGAATCGATCATCAGCTATTCTTTCTATTCAGTGTATTAAGTATAATTTTACTGAAGTGTACTACCTGCAAAATTTGATGTCCAATCGTTTTAAGACAAAGATAGCAATAGCCCCTATCACTTATAAATAGACCTTTTGGTTAAATGATCAATTTATGAAATGCAATCTGACATTGTACTGTAGCGTCATTCTAACACTTCATAATAAAATTGTCTGCAATGCAAATCAGTGCTAATGCTTGTTCCCATAGTAATATCAACAAATAGCATTCCAGTCCCAGAGTTCCCCTGTATCTCTTCTGAATTAAGTTTTTCCTGAGGGTAGGGTCTTACCGATGCTGTTGCTAGAGCTATATCCTCAAAATTCAAGAAGAGATCATGCATAGATTTCCCCAACTCCTCTTCAATAGTCCGACGAACCTGCAGAAATCAAACTTCTCATAGATTAACATTGCCATTTCATATTAAATAAGTATCTAGGAACACAAGTACAAAAAAATGAAAACAGTTGTGCTGTACATCTATATGAACAAAATAATAGACATGGAAGAGGACAAAAATAGATAAAACTGATTAATGCCTGTCAAACACACAGGGGTTTATCTCTCCCATCTTTTTAAGTTAACATGGTATACTGGACACCAACCAAATAGTTTCTTTGCTTGGCATGTCATCTGGTTCAGCCTATCCCCATTCTTTAAACAACACGGCATAGTAGTAAAACTGATTATTAGCTTGTCTAGCCTAATAGTGTCAAAATATTTCACATTTGGAAGAACCAAGTCACTTTTCTTTCTACTTTCTTATAATCCTTACATTGTCATGATTGAAGATATTACCTCTTCTAAAGGTCGAGGGGGAAGAGAGTCCTGTAGCTTCTTTAGAAGGTTTATATAAGCTGGGGGCAGCACATCAGCACGTGTAGAGAGGTACTGTCCTAGTTTCACCCACAAGCCTTCCAGCTCTACTACCAAACTAAGAACACGCTTGGCGTTGCGTTCGTGAGCTTTCTCCCACAAACCAGCCTTCTTTGTCTTGCTTGTCCATTTCTCTCTTTGCTGTAGGGCCTACAGACATACAATAAAAAAATATTAAAGGGAGAGAGAAGATGCTTTCAAAGTTATAAGGCATTGGAAAAGAAAAGAACACAGAATGGTGAAGTTGCCAAAATATAAAAGCCAATCATCACATAATATCAAATCCTGAGAAACATAATGCACCTTGTAGTCCAGGTAGATGACAACAGCTAATGTAAAAACTTTCATGCGCCTTTTGTAGATGTTTCCCCATCCCATTGAGTACAGTTTATTTTTCAGTTGTACCTAAAAGATATTGGGGTTAGAGAAACACATAGATGTTATTAGAATAACAGTTCATAAGCCAAGTAGAAGTAACTTCAGTGGGTGTAGTATATGCCATCCTGATTCATTAGTATTACTATAGCAAAGCGTTTGATATCTTTCCACTCACTCAGTGCTAATACTTGTTCAACCTGCCACAGCAGCTTCTTCAAGGCAAAGGCATCAGCGACATATTACTCTGTCACCTAAGTACTAATGTCTAGAGATGGCTATAGTCTCAAGTCATAACCCAATCTTTGGCTACAAAAGCTGTGTAGCCTTCATCACTTTGACTTGATGCCCCACGTTGTAGTGCTTACGACAATTTTTTTTTGAGCTCGCATAGTTCTTCATTGGGAAATAAGATTCTGTTGATGTGTTTGGTTACTGTTCCTCAATGAACCCAGGCCAATCTCTCTCTGAAGTTAAATTACGTGATGGAGGAGACATGTAGCTTTATCTCCCTTGGCAACAAAGAATATAAGACACTTTTAAAAAAAAAGGGAAAAAGAGAGAGAATATATAGTATAATGCGAAAACAAAGACTTGATAACCCGTTCAGAAAAAGTAACCTTTTACCAGAGTTTAAGTGATCTCTCTTTGTTTTCTTCATGATACTCCCACCCATGTACTACTTCCTCTTATAAAGCCAAACATTTCTGACAATCATAATTGTCCAAGAAATAACTACCATCAACAAAAAGGCAAAAGGGCTCCCATTTCAGCTCAGTTTCATCCATTCTCATCATTATTTTCCTGCTTTATCAGTGACCATTTCAGCTCATGTTATAGAAGTAGATTCTCACTTTTTACTGATAAATAGTCATCAGGATTCTAGAATCTCATCTTCACCTCCTTGTGAATGTGTTTACTAAGTCTATTTTCAGCTCATGTTTATAATCTGTTTATAAAAACTCAAGTCATTTCCTATCCACACATTTCAAGGACTCACAAGTAGTATCCACTTATCTACCACTCATTTCTATCTATTCATATGTTTATAAACACTTCCCAAACATGCTCCAAGAAAAAGACCATCGAAGAACAAAGCCCTCTCGAAAAAGAGCTTAGATTTATAAAAAGTATGTACTCCACTGATTCCTGCTTCTTCTTCCACTGTTTACTATACTCCAGAATCCAATCAAGGCTGTAAGCATTTTTTAACTTTAATCCTATCACAGTTTTTAGAATGCATGCTGAAGATCTTGAATTTATGACCAAGATTCTAGCAGGTAGTCATAGCATTATTGAAGGATGTGGTGACAAGTTGTATACCGTTTTATTTGATTCCTTTAAGATTGTAGAATGTGAGAAACTGATTGAGAAATTCCCTGTATTAGTCGAGGAAAATATGTGCTATATAAAGGAAATAGAAAGCAGAGGCTACATTACAACTGTACAAGATAAACTATAACAAAAAATTATCATAAGAAGATTACATAATTCTACCAGAGAAACATTCGTCATAGTTCGCATACAACCTTCCAACCAAGTCCTTGACAAGCAGATAAACACGATCTGATTTGTTTCATGTTTGACTCGGTCCAAGCTGTTAAAGGGCCTCACTTGGGAAAAGGTTGCTTCACATATTTATCAACATTCAAACACTAAATATATCATACTTCTAAACGCCTATTAAACTGTACAATTTTGAACTCCAGCCACAATCATATTCGTCCAAACAAGGTCAAATAGGGAATTAACCTTCAAAAGCACAAAATATAGCTTATATTGCACTTCTTACTCAAGGGTTCCTATTGTTCATCACACACCAACAAAATTTGCAGAATTCAATGAATATGAGCCAAAAATAACAAATTGAACAATCATATACGACCTTTGAAAAAAAAAGATCAGAAACGAGCTACAATCTGAACATGCTGAAATAATTAATTAACAAAAACACAAATAAAATTAAAATCACAAAATCACCTGGAAAATAGAGAAGAAGAGAGACAGAGTGGAGAACAATAGAACACGTTAGACCGTTCTACACAGAAGCAAAAGAATCAAAAGAGAATCCTCGAAATGATCGGTAGTGGTTGAACGGTGTCGTATTAAATGTGGCGTGGAAATTGCTTGCGGTCGACGCCTTTTTTCGGTCTATCGCTCTGATAGTGACGCGTTTTGACGTAACGGCTTTTTGAACTTTCCTACGTTTTATATATTTTTTCTTTTTTTTTTTCGCTTTTTAGTTTTTTATTGGTAGTTATTTTCATCATTATATTTATGATGAGGTGAAAGTGAAATATTGGAAAAAATGAAAATGGAAAATTGCAGCATTAGTCTCCAATCTATTAACTTTTTGCAAATCGGAACTGTTCTATTTTTCATGACATTTACTTCCCAACCTACCGTTATTAGAGCAACAATGCCAATAGTAAGTCCATGAGTTTAGGTCAATCAAACGTTGATAGTCGAATGACATAAAATGTTTAGCATTTTTTCATTTGACACCATTTTTGCTTTTGGATAAAATAGTTAAAGCCTAATCCAACAACCTTCATATTCATTTTTGAAATTGGAAATATTTGAGGAGGGTGTTGGATTCGTTCTGGGATTGGAGAGGGTCAGATTCAGTAAACAGGTAAAATGCTAACTATTAGTGTCAAAATTCAAGATTCATTGACGTTCGAGCAATTTATGCCGGAACAGAGTTTTGGAAGCATCATAATTGTTTGGTGATTAAAGAAATATCTAGCGTGTCCAAGAAGCAATGACGAAGAAAGGGCTATAATGCTTTAAAGCCCATGATCCTACCTCAATGGTGGCAACAAAACTTGGTGCTCGGAAACTTATAGTGTTGAGAGGAGATTTAAAACAAAAATGGAAGCATTTCGTGGTGGTGGGAGAGGACCAATATGGGTGTGGTTTTTTTTTTTTCCACGTAAATTTGGAAATGTAAAGATAGTGGTGGCAAACAAGCTCGTTGGCTCAGACGACCCGTGGCTCGAGTCGAGACGAGCTGACTTGGAGCTCGTTTCTATTAGCCAAGCCACAAAAATGAGCCCGGCTAGCCCGCGAGCCGTACTAGCCCAAATATTGGCCGACCCCGTACGTGGGCTTGTGTGACATGTCTTTTATGCTTTTTAATCACTTGCATAATTAATTTTTTTAAATTTATAAATTAATGACCACTTAGTGTGTAAAATTCAACAACTTGCATAATTAATTTTGTAGATCAATTTTCCATATATTCAACGAAAAAAAATAAAAAAACCCATGAGTTGGCTCATCTCAAGAAAGTCTCGAGTGAAAGCCCAGGTCAAGTCCCCTTTTTCGAGGACGAGCCAAGCTTGGGAGGCTCGAGCATTTTTTTCTTGACAAGCTAATGCCGGTTCGGCTCGACTTGGTAGAGGCTTACCTTTGTTAACGTCATTAATCTATTCAACCTTACCACTTAATGGTTGCATGACGATTCCCTAAAAAAACAATACAGATGCGTTATAGATACGTTGTCAACAAAGGATACCTAATAAGCTAAGCTAATAAGAGTCGAATGGTTAGTAATAGGATCAACGATATACTGTACATTGCTCTTCTGATTCTAATATGTCATCCTGAATATAGAGCATTCAAAAGTAAGAGTAGTGCCGAAAGGTTGCACCTCCCGTCAATGAAAAATTGGCTATCGAGATTCCGCACGATCGAAAATCAATACAAACACAGATTTTCAAAAAGAAAGCCGTTACCTAGACAACTTTGAAGCTTTTCATAGAAAGAATGAAATAAACATACTCAATTGTAGTCCCCAAGCTTTGTAATGTTTTATCTATACTTAAAGAAAGTATCGCGAACCCCTTCAAGCACGAGATTAGACAATTGTGATTGCACTTTCACCTAGGTAATCTAGTATCCTTATAGAAGACGATCTATTCAATTGTCGTGGTCAAACTCTATCATGGATTTTTTTTTTTTTATAAAAAATGGTAGAATTGTACTTTTTATTAAAGAATCAACTTTGTAATGGTCATTTAGACATTTTGAGTCTCGTGGGATTAGTCGAGATATAGTAAGTTGGTCAGAACATCCACGTTTATTAAAAAAAAAATTGGACATTTTGAGTCCATCAAGGATCATGGCACAATTAAAATGATATGTTTGAGACGTAAGTTCCAAAATATTTATTGAGGACCCATTTTGAATTAAGTGAATAGGTTGAGATTAATGATGCATTTTCCCCCAATAATAGATCTTAGAAAAGTTAGAGGTATGGCTTATGTAGGCACCTCTGACCATTGAAAATTTTATATTATTCTCAGTTGAATAAGATCGTTGAATATATCATTTAGATAAAAGTGGCGTGCTACTAGAACAGGGCCACGTATGCTCCATCTGGGGCATCGAGTACCCCCTGTCCAAGCCCCCCACCTATAGTGGAGCCACTTGGTGCCCCGTTGAAGCAACTTTATTTTTAGATAAATATATAAATGGGAATGTTGATTATTATTTTTGTTCTCTTTATTCTTTCTTTCTATTGTGTTTGTGATGCCATGATTACTATATCACAATTTATCACAAATTTCAACAAAAATGTTTGTTTTTTTCACTAGGTTTCGTTCCAAAACATTCAAAGCGTCATTAATAATAAGCGAAGTTGTAGTTTCTAAACTTTCTTGAATCTAAAATTTTAAAACCTTCTACTCGAAATCTCTCATCGTAGTCACGTGTCCACAAACCAAGAGTCTATGTTTTAGATAGGCAAATCCTCTTCATCTTGTAGCTTTAAGAATTTTTTCTTTGCAACATTCTTCGAATTACATATATTTATTTAATAAATTAGTAAAATCAAGCAATATATTTAAATTTGTGATTATACACTAATGAATGAATATTTATAATTTTGATTAACTTGTAATGGAGCTACACATAGTTTCAAATTTTTTTTTTCTCACTGGTATTAACGATGCAATTCCAATAGGTGAAATGACATCCCAAGTCAGCAATGGTTGGTA